TTCTGTTTTTCTATGAAAATACCGCCTTTCATTCAAAACAAAAGTACGCGAACTTCTTCGGAACGAATTGGCAGAACAGTCACAACGCTAGCTAGCATGTACTGTGTGTACTGTATATTTTCATATAAAATTGAATTTATGACAGTGTATGTTTATATCGTGTGTATGTATTGTGTATACTTCTGGACTTCTTTGTAAATATAAATATATGTAGTAATGAATTTATGTATTTTAGTTATATTTAATGTAGGTTTATCTCTTGTTTACTAAACTATGAACTATGACAAATTTAATATATTTTCTTTGCACCTACTGCATCATATTTCCACATCACCTGAAGGTCGACTGGGAGAGAATGCTTCATGGCATTAAGTCCGCCTTTGTATAACATGTGCATTAAGTTTAAATAAATAAATAAAAATACCTTTAATGACATTTGTGAGAGAGAGTGATCGGAACTGAATTGTGATTCAATTTTGATTACGAGAATGGGCCTTCTGGTAGTTCATCATTGTGAAAAACATCAATTGCTTAGTAGGCGTAAAGCGACCACTGTTTTGGCATTTTTTAGGGTCGCAGGTGAATGAAATGTAAGTACATCAGTATTTTGAAGTACTGCCGTTTATTGTGGATAGGTTTTGCTCTACTCGGTTTATAAATTTGTATATTTAGAATTATTAAATATTATTACAGATCAGCTAAAATCAGAAAAAAATACCATGGCAACATATTCATCACATAAGAAAATATATTTATTTACACAGTCCTAGTGGAACACATTTAACTGCATACACAACCATTATATAACGCTCACAGCGCTTATTATAATAGTTAATTTTCTTGAATGTATACTCTTGCCATATACGACTGCCAAGTCATTATACTCGTATTATGTATATTAAAAGATTTAAGATGTATAATATTGATACGGTCCAAATATAATGTTTTAAGGTAACTAATTGAGTTACAACTAAGTAGTTAAACCGCGTTGTCATTTTTCATGTTTTGTTTTAATGTGTATTATTTTCTTTTTGCAGATATATCAAAACAAATCCAACTATTATTGTATTTTACCATATATACCTACATCATCTTTTTACCTATCTACATATATATGCATTAAGGTAGATAAAAAAATTAAGAAGTGGAAAAAACAACTTTGTAATCCCATATCAAATCTTATAACAAGTCCATATGGTGTGCATATAATTGAAACAAATGCCTTGTAATATAAAGATAATAATATGGATGCATGCAATATAGATATTTTATTTATACATATATCGACAAGCAAACACTCGATTATCAAATTCAAACATTAAACTTAGAGCCAGACGTCTAGACTAGACATTAAATCGTGGGTACACAGTTGTGAATAAAAATAAACAGAATTATAATCTTCATAAAATTTCACACAAAAATTTATGAAAGTCTGGAAAGATTTACATTTGTTTATGCTTGTTTATAATCACTTAAATTGAGTTTACATTGAGATTTGTAATTTATTTTTTGTGCTTATTTTACCTGTACAGATCCTAATTAGGAGATGTAAATAAATGATCAATGGTAATCAGCTAGTAAACTTGAAGTAGAACCGAACCCAGGTACTTGAAGAAAAGGTTAGGGTTAGGTAAATTCTTATATTATTTCTTTGCCTTTTCGGAAAAAGTCTGAATATTTGGAACCAAACCTTGAATTGCTATTACACAATTTATAGTCAACTCCTGTAAAACGAATACTTTATTTATCTGAAAAAAGAAAATAAAAAAACATTGATGCGGTACAGACAGCAAAAATTATAGATTAATTTTTGACCGAGTTTTCTTCAAGTCAAATAGGTGTGACAATATACTTTACCTCTGTCACGTAATACTACACAATGAAGTAATACGGTAGTCGTAATTAAAATGGATCTTCTTGGCGTCTGTGAATTAAGAGTTTTAGTGTCAAAAGCTTACAATTTGTACAAAGCACTTATTTAATGGCAAAGATAATTGTTTAGGTGCTGTTCACTCCAACTAAACTAACAAATACTTTCATACTCTAAGGAAGTCCTGTGTAAAAAACAAAAATAAAATAAAACATTTATTTTAAAAATGCTTGGTCAATGCATGTCATCTGAATATAGTCTATCATATTATATGTTTTACCAACTGACAGCGTTTTTACTAAATTACGTAATACTAGTTACATTTAAATATAAATAAATAAAAATGAAAAATGAAATACGTCACAATAGTTTGTATCATAACTTTATTTACGTATCCCATTTAAAATTTACATTAAATACAATAATAAAATTATACAAATAAAAATTAAACAACAATCTCGTGTCACTGTACATTTATATTTATAGAGATGATGTTGTGCAAAGAATTGACGTTACCTTAAGTGAAAACACAGCCATAGATTAACGCCTATTTATTAAGACTATGAAATATTTTTAGATAAAACTAATTAACGCTCAGAAAAGCTAGAAAACTTTTTAACCTGACCATGGAATAGCTAGACAAATTAAATTGTGCTATTATTTCAATTGAACTTATTTTTGTACTTAAATACTTGAGGTTTTTATGCACTGTCAGATTCCACTGACAATGAATAAGATAGGAGCATCGTGACGTCATTTGATAGAGCGATAGATAATAATATGTGTACGCAATAGAGCAGTCATGTTAACTCGATTGCTTATATTTGTTTGAAATACTTCGTTTGTGGTGGGCTAATTCCTATTGCATCAATAAGCAGCGCCATACCTACTATGAGTACCAGCGAGCTAAAATAAATGGTGATACAGGGACATCACCATTAATGTTCAGTATAGGAATACTGAAACAATTTTATTAATTAACATTAATACATAAAATGAATTATGTAAGGCACGTGCCTGTATTGAAAACCCGAAGTTAAGCTAAACTGAAAGTAATCAAATGTTTTGAAATGTAACAATAGTATTACCTGGTTGAAAAAAATGGTAGGCGAGTTAAAGGAATATACTAAGCCTGCACATACACAAATATTTATCTAAGTTATAGATTGGGCTCTTTTGGTAGAGGTTAATAAAATATATAATTGTTATAGACGCTTTTACAGATCATCATCAGGTTCATCAGGGAAATCATAGTCAGGTTTAAGTTTTCTTAAGTAACACCTGGTGCGCGAAAACAAATATTTTACGACTTATTTTATATTTAGATATCTATCAACTTATCATGAAATCACTTTACACATTTTTGTTTTTTTGATTAACGTTTCTGAAACGTACAAAAAATATTATTCTCCTCGATACATGTACGAAGTCTATGGGCGTATTTATACTTTTTTTTCCTATTTTGTGTTCTACAGTGTTTTATACTTATCTAACTTTGTTCGTTGATCGTATATTAAGTATAAACGATTGAAAATATTTATCATATATTATGGTTTGTTCGGAAACATCATTGGCTCAAGAACGCTCTTATATTCAGATGTTATTTATATATCAAACAAATACATATAAATTATTGGTTTATTATTCACAAAGGAACATTTAAATGATACGGCAAAGCCTGTGATATATATGTATGACGAATACTCCAAAAATATCATAAAAATATATTGGCTAGAGTAATGATAAGCACGTCCTTGATCATTATTTTATTTTTAGTTTTTAGTGTAAGGTAAATAAAATGAAAATCAAATAGGATTTTATATTTAGAATTTTGACATATAAAGCAACAAAAATTATTTAGAAGTTTACTATTCTCTATATCTGTGTATAATTTTTTTTTTTTTGTAAAAATGACAAACTGTTCCTAAGTAAGTATTTTTCATAATACGGGGCCATAATTTCAACAACAACGTACAGTCTCAAGTAATCCCTTAATATAACACAGAGAGTCAAAACACAATGATATTTACAGGCCAAAGTTACCTGAATGCACCTGAAATACAAGATCTTCAATCAATCGACGCTGAATTTATACAATAAAATTTCCCATAAGGTAGTTGAAGTAGCAGGTTCTTTAGTATTAAGTTATACTCAGTTAGTTGTTAACAACAATGTACTTCGCTCTTTTAATTTTGAATCTATCGTAGTTACAGTAGGCTCACTGTGAACTTAGTGAACTGCATAGGGTAGTGTGTAGACCCAGGGTGACTACGGTCACCCCGAGATGTGCCTCAGACATGGGGTACGGCCGGGAGGACTCCAGAAGCCGCCGATGCGTTCCGCGAACTTCTTGCGATGGTATGCCGCAGCGGGGTTTAGTGGTTAGACCCGTTCTCCGGGAGCCCCACCCCACACACGAACTGCGTTTTCCCAACGGAGGGAATGGTGCGAAAAGCGTTCCCCGCGTAAAAAAAAGGGTAGTGTGTAGAAGTTGTGTTATGAAATAATTAAATAACTTGCGTCCTTGTTAATTACGCGAGGTAAAACTTACTCATTTGTTCCATAGTAATCTGGTCTTACAATAAAAGAAAGAAACAATATTAATATTTCTTTCTTTTTTATTTATGACTTTATGCGTTTTATTAAGTCCATAAACAAATACTTGTTCTAAAATATACTCTAAGCAACGGCTCGGATTTAACATCAGGATTGTTTTACTTATTTACACGTCTATTTAATTATGCGTACATACAAGTGATATTTTATGAAAACTTGATCAATTTACAGTTCATTGACTTTCGAAACTAGAAGTTTCTCTTTTTGTTTTTTTTTATAACATCCGAAGTAGTACGTACCACGTTTTATACGACATCAATACTTTTATTTAGAGGTGGAATTTGTATGTATGAAAATAGGGCTTTTTAATATTGAACTTAGAGCTATAGTGTATTTAATTTTTTAATTTATTGAACTTTGACTTAAATTTTGTTTTGCCAAATATGTCAAAAGTCTAAATGTTTTAAAAAGAAATATGTATACATAATTATATTTTTTGTTATTCAGGCCGTTTTTTTTTAAATATTATCTACTCTTATAATTAATATCACCAGACAATATTTAACACCGAATCTCATAAGCTCGTAAACCTTGATATTTCATTAAAAGTCAATAATATAATTGATGCTATTAACCCAAAGGTATTGACTACTTTTGTACCTGAAACAGAAAAAAATATATGAAAAAGTCGGTTAATAACAGAGATTATGTAATTCGTATAATTTAACTTTATAAGAAACTTATATACAATGGTTTTATAAATAAAATAAATCTAATACTGTAGACATTCAATTGCTACGACGCCAAAGAGGTTAAGTGACATATTATGCATTTATTTCCTGCATTAACAACAATAATGTAGTTTGCCTATCTGGATATAATTTGTGTTCATTTATTCTACATGTAGAAGTCCATGCGACTAGCGAGAAAATATTTAACGCTCTATTTGTATTTAATACAATACTTTAAAATAGTACTAATTTGTAAAATGTTACCTCTTAAAATGAGTATTGAGCTGTGGTACCAATTCATGTTTTTATAATAAATTATTATGTTTTTAACACAAGGAAAGTCTTCACAGCAAGATGTAACTGCTTTACTTACTTAAATTTATAGTTAGATTTTACATTAAAACTCGCTTATATATAGTGATACTTAATTTCTCATTCATTCATTCTACCTCATATCACATCACATATATCAAAAGCCTTTCATAGTCCTCTGCTGGACATAAGCATACTATAACCTCATTCTACCTCACTACGACAAATTATTATCAAACACCCACAACTTCAAATCCATTAATTTATTTATAGGTAGGTATATTTACAGAATGCGTAGTATATCCGTTGCTAACTGAAATTACGCTGTTTAATAGTATTTAATAAATTAATAGCAAGTTTATTAAAAGCAATGCTATTACCGTTCATTTTATAAAACAAGCTACGTATTATATCGAAACCACAACCGTCCTTCGCACTAAAAACCACAAAACAAAATTGTGTAACTAGTTTTATGATATGCGTTCAACAGACCAAAGTTTGGGGTTAAACCTAAAAATAACGTTTAGCCGATAAATAACTATTTAAACATTTTGTTACTTGTATGAGCCATATGTGCAAAATTATGTAGTCACCTAGTCTATACTATACTATGTGATATTTTAATGTCACTCGTTCGCTTCATTTTCGTTCTGGTTTATTATCTAATCTGTTAACAATGTTTGCACTCTTAAATGAATTAGGGATTACAATGCAATAATAACAGGATAGATAACAATCGCTACAAATTATATAATGTTGAATTGTCTTACTTCGTATAAACTAATCAAGTAATGTTGTTTAGCGACGTAATTTTTAAAATTACTTCTTCCAAACGTCCCTTTCATCGCGTATAGCACGGCATGGACGTAATAAATACTGACCTCGAAAATATGTAAAATATACAAAATTATCATTAATTATCAAATGTTAACTTACCTCTATTATTAGACACATATTTAGAGAGTAGCGTACGTGAATGTATCGTGATTATAGTATCTACATCCCGCACAACAGGCGGCTGAACTAGGAGTATGGACTCGCAGCGTACGCGCATTGAACCACTAGCAGTGCTGGGTACACGTAGACGTAATACGCGCCATGATCGTCGAAGACCACCGGGCTGATGACCTGTTACTTCCGTTTTTTGCCATGCCTCTGGCTGCAAGAAAAATATTTTTATTATTAAAGGAAAAACGTCAGTCTTTACGAGTTCGAACTATGTTGTTCTTATAACTTACAAAATGAATGTATATAGACAGATACGTAGGAGAATAGACATCAAAAATTGAAACTCCAAGAATGTAGTACATCTAATCATTAGTAAATAAAAATTACAGGATAGAATACATTCGTACTCTATCCTGTCCTGTGTATGTCTAAAGAGTGGTTTTGTTAGTTATCTGTAAGATAACTGTACTAATAGGATCACTACGGGTATGCGATCCCGGCCTGCTCTATCTGTTGCTGTCATACATCTTTCCCGTGACAACAGTAATCTATCTCCTTCCTGAGTGTCCTACTACTTTCCTAACTCCCACAACCCTTAGCGGGTGCCTTCCGCTAAGATCGACTTACGATCCTGGTTAAACACTAGTACTAAAATATGTTAAAACCATTGGCCTGCATCCGAGGCTTGGCTAATGCCTAGGCACGTCCCTATCTCTCGCCAGATATAGATATATCAGATATATAGATACAGAGAGACAGGGGTAAGAGTGCACCTGTGTTCGCACGCACACTGCCGTATTTTTCTTTAATATTTACTGCGCAACTGACTTGGCTCTGACAGCGGACTCCGACAAGCAATAGACCTGCGGCGAGGTACAGAGGTAAATAGGTCTAGTTGTCATGCCAGCTAGGCTTTGTCTGATGTCTGCAGGCAGGCGGCTAATTAACCCAATTAAAACCCAAATTGGGTTAACAATGTAATTCGGCAGTTCCCTGGGCGACGAAGCAGCTCTATTCAGAAAGGCCCTGCTTCCCTCAATCCGGGGAGCGGACTAGAAAAGGTGTTCTAAAAAAGGCTTGGCCCACCATTCTCGGTCGCAGTACCAAGGCTGTCTTTACATCGTCTATAACGTGGTCCAAGGCATAGTAAAAAATCGAAAAACCGAAATAAACTCGGAATATGACATTCGCAACGTGGAAAGTACACACCCTCCTTGATTGTAATATCATTGTAAAATGTAATAGGTATTGCTGCTCTCAGTGAGACCCACCTGGCTGACGAGGGAGAGAAGGTGCAATGCAAAGGAAGATATACTATCTTTTGGAAGGGTAACCCGTCTTCCGAGCCCAGGAGGTCTGGTGTCGGGTTCGTCATCAGAAACCACAGAGCACGTAAATTGGAGGAGGTCTTCGTGAGCAGGTACAATTGATGGTGACTTTAACGCTAGAGTCGGGCGTGACTTCGGGACATGAGCTAAGGTCTTCAGAAGGCATATGTTGGAAATATGAATAGTAATGGACAACTCCTACTGTCTTTATGTGCCTAATTTGAGTTGGCTATCACCATCACCATGTTCAGACTCCCGACAAAATATAAGACCACTTGGATGCATCCATCCAGCATCTGATTGACTATGTAATTATCAGACAAGCAAATATTTCTCATTTACAAATAACGTGCGTGGTAACGAGAGTCTGATGAGACCAGCCAGGACACAGATAGATCTTTAATTTTTGATTCGATTTGCTATTTGAGTCCTAAACTATTATTTATTTTTAAAAGTCCTTTTGCTCTTAAGTGCCCCAATGGTATTTACTTTATTTAAATATAACACAAACACAAATTCCATAGTTGCTGCGTTGTTGTACATATATGCTGTATTTATATACATGTGCGAAAGTTGCTAATGGTGAAAAGCTTTTAGAAAAAGTTACTAACGTTTTCACAGTTTTTATTTCACAGAGTCAGAATTTTATTTTAAAACAAATAATACCTAAGCCCATATTCATGAACATTGAATTTTCTGTGTCCATTATTTTGTAATTAAGATGAATGCGATACCATTTATCATAAATTAGCCACACTGCAGCAGGTGCTCTATTTTATTTATTGCTCTATTTATAACGACCGTTTTACATAATAAATCATTTAAATACTTATATGTTTTCTGAGAGTTCAACGAGCAAGTATTATTTTGTAAATAGTAATTATTTGTTGAGCTCTTAACAAAATTTCTGAATTGAAATTACATAAAAATATGGAATCACATCTAGCAATTATTGGAACTTCGCCAGAGGTAGAGAAGATATCAGTGTTCCTTAACCTACGCTACGTAGACAAAATTGACACTTTTCTTAGTTACATTTTGCAGGTTCTAAAGGTGCATCGGAGTGGGTGAATTGGGACTATGTGATCATCGCTCATTAATCTCTGAGCTAAGATAACTCATACTGAGTTAGAGTTCAGATTTATAAATTTAATGGGTCCAATCCATTGTATAAAATAAAGACACTCTTTGTTGATCATTTAACTCATTCACTCTAGCATATATATGTATGATCAGCTGTAGGCAAAAAAAGTAACGTTACATATTCATAATACAGGATATGCGTTTAATTTTACGAATGAAAGATGTACGATGACGACCGCAGTGAGTACTGGCCATCAGGGTCATCAGAGGGTACCGCACGATCTCCTTTGATCTCCTTGCGGCGAGTCTCCTGGCTGGAACTCCACCATGGGCCCTGAAGGCGAGAGCCCTTGCGGCTCTGTATCGGTGGCGTAAGTAGGCGAGGGACCTGAGACAAAGTCCTAAGTCTCAAGAAATTGAGGTACAGAAATCCCAGCTCCGCCAGGTCCTCGTGGAGGAGTGGAAGGAACGACTTGGGCAACCGAGCGCTGGGCACATCGTTATCGCGGCGGTAAGACCCGTTATGAAGGATTGGCTCGAGAGGCATCACGAGATCTTCTTATACCGGTTGACGCAGATGATTACTGGAAAAGGATGCTTCGAGGATCACCTGTGTCTGATCCACAAGGAGCCAATGCCTGGGTGCCACCATTGCGATGGCCGGACCGTGGACACGGCACTCCACACGCTGGCAGAATACCTGGCGTGGGTGGAGCAGAAGCTTGACCTCGTGGCGACCATCGGGGTGAGAGTCCTCTCGCTCGGTAACATGATTGCGGCCATGGTATGGAGCGAGAGTGCGTAGAACTCCCCCATCTCCTGCTGCGAGCAGGTTATGCTTGCGAAGGTTCCCACACAGGATGGGTCATTTATAAGCCGTAGATGGCCCGAGGTACGTTGGGGTACCAGAGGTTTCCTTTCCAGGGTATAGCTGGTTCCCCAGCTACTGGTACCTGGAGGCGACGTGCGGTTTTTGGTCGGTTCGAGTCCAGCATAATCACCCACTGGTGGGTGATATCCAAGGAGAGTTCCACAAAAAAAGGGGATATAGAGAATGACATATGGTACCTTATGCCCTGTATTTAGGATATAATTATGATCGATCGAGTCATATCTATGTGCAAGCGTGATAGGCAGATAGACAGAGATATTTTCACTTTAAAAACAAACTGCACAATGGTAAATGTTCTCGCGAATCTGATTTCCTAAAAACTATTTATGAAAAAAAATATACACAAAACGTTATCATGTTCTTATGGATTTTATAGTTTAACATAGTAACAAAAGGACCTAATGAAAAGTTAATATAATACGAGTAGTACAAATAACATGAGCAAATACAGAAACTATTATAATCTAACTAATATTTAAAATTTGTAGTATTAAATGTTAACAGATAAAAGCTAAACTCAATTCTTGTTACGACAATATCATACTTTGTTGATATAATTAAAGTGCTTGCTTTCTAATGTACTTTGGGTTAATAACGAGATATTATAATGTATACCTATCTTACATATACAGAATAATTTAAATTTAAATTCGTTATAAAAACTTATTAAAGTAACTAAGAACCATTCGAGTCTCACTAGACTGCGGTGACAGAGAAATTGTAATTCGATAAGTACAGAATTAGATATTTATCGACAATTCAAATTGCTAGATTCGATACTACAAGCAGTTAAAAGGTTTTATACCTCTTTATTACTAAAACATTCTCGTCAACAAGATTGCTCGGTCTCCCTCCAATGGTTGGCTTAGCGTGATATGAAATATACCTGAAACTATTCATACTAATGGGTCTTTACCTATCCGTGTGGTGACGGATTAAGAATACGAAGTATCACCTCTATTTAAGTGGGTGTCGTAAGAGCCGACTAAGGGAGCAAACTACGCAGGACAACAGCACTGCAAAAAGAAGGCAAACTTGACGCAAACCTTAACCCAACCCGTCTGGCCATAACCTCCTTTCTAAGGAGAGGTCTATATCCAGCAGTGGACTATTGAAGGCTGTTGATGATGATGATGATGGGTTTTTACTATGTATAATACTGACACAGAGTCGAGACATCTTCAACAGTAAAGCTTGCTCACGACGGCAAAACTCATAGTAAATTTCCTGTGATGGAGTTATCAACATTTTAAGGTTCCACTACTGAATAATGAAAGATTATTTCAGTAAAATATACTGGGCGTTTTAAAAGGCCATTAGCGAAGATTTAAAGAGTACCTCTGTTACTTAGAGTCGCTTAACAATAAGCCCCCGTAATGGCAAACAATGCACAAGTACTTCATATAAAGGCAGCCTGAAGTGGGATGTTATAATAATAACCACCTGAATTAATTTTATACGACATAATGAATATGTGAAAATGTTAAACTATTATAGCCAATTTTTTAAAGGAGTTTTTAATGCCGAAAAGAAATCACCATCACATGAGTCATCGTCTAATTTAGAATGAATATTTATCATCATCATCAACAGCCTTTAATAGTCCACTGCTGGACATAAGCCTCTCCTTAGAAAGGAGGTTAGAATGAATATTTATATTTTTCAGAAATTCGGAAAACGTAAAGAATACAACCAGAAATGCCCATTTTTTTCATAGGGAGTGTAAACTTAAAGAGATACTAGTTAAGTTATTTTTCTTTTAGAAGAATTATTTTATACTTCTTAGTTCGGCTAGTTACAAAAGCGTGTTTTTTAGTTTTTTAAACTAAAATTTATTTTTACATTTTTTAATCTTTAATGATTGTTATTTTCTCATTTGAACAAAAGAAGTAAAAAGTAAGTAAGTTACATATGGTTCAGCATACACTTCTTACTACGTAGCAAAAGACACTACTGTATTTTAAGATATGGAAAACGCCGTTAATCTTAAAGATCCTGATCAAGATAATCAGCCGAATTTATCAAATTATTGGTCCTTGATAAGTATGCGAAGTTTTAATTTAATTCAACGTTATGAAGTGGGTCACAATCACGTTCCTAGATTCCGTTACATACATAGATACCTTCATACATACCTAGCTAATAAAAGCATGTCAAAAAAAAGAAATAACTCTCAAAATAAAATAAAGGTTAAATTATAAATGTATTTCTATTATACAAACCTTTTGCAGCTCCTCATCGATGTACCAATTAATTTCTGATGGCGGCAATGAGAAGTCCGACGTGCAGTTCAGGAATATCTGATCTCCAGGCTTCAACACCTTTTGAGCTCCGATTATGACAGGGTCCGCCTCCGGCATAGCTAAGACAAAATAAATTTGCATACAATCGCACAAGTTCCCCTGTGGTGTCTAAATCTATCACAAACACTCGAATCTATATATTGAGTGTATAAAATACCAGTGGGAATCAAATATCTCAAAGCTAAGTATTTCAATCGTGGACGGGAATGCTTAATTAAAGGCCTTTAATTCCAGCTGTCGAGTATCACTATTGTTAAGTCGAAGCCAAAGTGATGTCGCCGACCGGTGGTTTGTGCTGTTTAGATAATAACGCCGATAAAACTTCTATATATAAGAGGCAAATGTAATACGGCTATTCATGATTTGCAACAAATAATTTCGACATCATCTAGACGAGCTTTGAATAACATGAACAAGTGTAACTAGTTCGACGTATGACAATTTTCTTCAACTAAAACATTGAAAAATAATAACTTAAAAAATAATGAATACTTGTGCAGAATATGTACCTATATAAATATCATATACAGGTTGTAGTCCACTGAAAAACTAAATTTGAAAAAAAAATGTTCACCTTTCATATGTTTTTTAATTTCAAACCGTTTTAAGCGATTATTTTCCTGTACTCCAAAAACACGAAAAAATTAAACCGTGTCTAGTCAAATGAGTACAAAACCTTTTAAGAAGTGCGTGACCGAGAGATGGGTTTACCCTGCTGTCACTAGCAACAATTTTACAAAGGTTTTCTTTTATTGCATGAATTTTTTTATTTTTCTTTGAAAAATCAAATGGTTAGATATTAAAAACGCTATGCTAGCCCCGGTTGGCAGATATAAAACCTGTCATTACCGATCTCATTGGACAGCATATTTTTGTCAATAGTGTAATGTCATTGCTTGCGGCATCCTTCGTATACAGACTTTATCAAACTTATTAGAACAGTGATCTTGGTAACGATGATTGGTTGAGTGGCAAAGCTTGAGAGCGTTATTAATAAACATATTATTATTTTATAATATAAAATTAACATGTAAAACATGAGTTAGGGTTTCCGAAGACGACATTGATGATAGAGCAAAGTGCAGTAAACAAACGAGGAAAGCTAACCCCACTACCATGTGGGATGAATAGCTTGAAAGAGAGCTGATAGAGAGAGAGAGAGTTAGGATTGCTGTAGAATTATTGTAGTATTGCGTCTTCCAAACATACTTTTTACGAACAATTAACTAACGAAATCCAACATTTTCAAATTTCGTAACATATAATGCTATTTCTGTACACATATACATATATTAAGTGACTTTCGGGGCTTCAACCTTTATTCTATCAGTAAATATGCCCACAGGGATATCAATTGTGTAACATTCGTATGTTAAATAGGGCGATACAGTCCTGGTCGGATATACTCGTACAGATAATAGTTCCCATATTAGATATCAACGGTAAATTAAATACTTAAGGAAAGTTTTAATCCCAAAATTATACCTCTAAATACTGGAACGATCTTTTCATATTCTGAACAATATCATGAAATAGGTTTAATAAAGACGTTATTTAAACTTCAGTATCATGAGATAACAGAACGAGGGATCATTTTGAGACCACAGTTTTTATCTTTATATCGCTTAGATGTCTTTGTAGTAAAATAACCGAACATTAATTTTCCATCCATTTTCTAAATACTTAAGACATGTCATATAATAAACATCAAAGAGATAAAAAGGTGGTCTTTCGGGTTTTAGGAATTTTATTTTGAATATGCTGAACGACGTATAATATAGGTTTAGGTTTAAATAATTAATTCTCAAAAAGACACGTATTATGCATGAGAACTTATTTTAACTTAAAAATAACAGTTTCATACAATGGTCGTCTGGAACATTTTGATATTTAGTGAAATTACAATCATTATTGAAGTAACAAAAAGACAAAAAATATATTTTAACCCATTTATGCCCAGAACTATGTTTTCATTTGGTTCCTTATTTGCCTCCTGATTCGAAAACGAATCAAAAATTAAGTTTTCATAAAAGTTCATCATCTTACGCGTTTCGTTCGGAAAGTGCATCCTACCGCCGTCTATATCAAGGTTAAGGTACCTTCTTCTAATGGTAATTGAATGTTTCAACTAAACAAATTTTATTGTCCCGTAATGAATCAGTGCACGTTGTGGCCTGTTTTCAACGTGCAGAAATCAGTGCGACTTTCACAAAAAAGTAACTATTATCCAAATTAACTCTAGTTTAGAGGTTTTGCGTAATTTAGGATAAAGTTAGATAATTTTAGAATATGTTTGTGTAATTATAAAAACAAAATTGTTGTATTCAAACACCTAAAAGGTGTTTATCAAATCAGTGTTTCGTAAACGATACATTGGGAAAATATACGTATGTAATATACTAAATAAGATTTTTTTATTTCAGATGTAGCAAGCTGTTATCGACCAATGAAATAGTTGATTTTGTCCATAATTTAGATTCGGACGATGAAGCGACAGGTATAGACATTTATATTGATCCCCCCGGAGATGGATTAGTTTCGGACTCCGATTCGGGCGACGAGACAAATGCAAATTTTGAAAATGTATCACGTAGACAACTTCTGGCTCCAGCTGAGCTGGTGCTTCGTGGGAATAAAGACAATGATGACAACGAGTCAGAAGATAATCAAAGATAGTCAAAACACAACATCGGACGTGCCTCTATCGAGTCGACCAGGACAGCCACAAGCCCGTAAGTGGGTAAAACGAGACTTATCCAAAATGGATAAGGAGAGGATTGCACCGCCTCCAAGATCAGTGGTGACCGTATGAGATTCGTCGGATCTAGTCGCTTTCTTTGAATTATTTTTTAGTCACGAAATAATAATTCATATTGTTCATGATACAGTTAGGTTAACCTCCTTTCTAAGAAGAGGCCTATGTTCAGCAGTGGACTATTATAGGCTGTTGATGATGATGTGACAGTTAGGTATGCTGTAGAAAAAGGAAAGTTTACCTTGTCTGATGATGAAATATATTGCTTCGTCGGAATTCTTATATTGACAGGTTAATGTCCATTGCCGCGACGACGTATGTGTTGGGAGAGTAATGAGGATACCCACAATTTGTTGATACGAGTAGCTAAATCTATGCGACGGAACCGGTTTGGTGGCGTGGATCATTTAGATGGTAATGTAGGCACTTACAGGATTGCAATTAGAGGTAAAAAATGGAACATCCCCAAAATGCTCCAAAAGTACGGCATTGATAAGCGGCGGCCGGGTCCTTCTAAAAGTTTTCTACGACTGTACCTCCCTCAGTGCGAAAGTGTTATGCTGAGCACATGAGGGACTGCGTTGTGCTTATTGCAAAAACTTGACGGTTACTTCATGTCAAAAGTGTCAGGTAAACTTACATGCTAAATGTTTTATATTCCTAAATTGTGTTCTTAAATGTATTCCCTAAATTCGTACCTAAATTTTGTTTATATTGGTGTGTTTAGATTTATGAATATGTCATTTAAAAATAAATAAATACATAAAAATATTTTTGTTACTTTACTCTTAATAAATGTATGGGAATTGCTCAATGTTTCGTTTTCGAACAATTAAAAAAAGGTACATAACCAATTCCGACCTTCATGAAACTAGTTATGACGTTATTAGTGATTGATTACCACAAACATATCCAAAATTTAGTAGAATCGGAAGTCAAAAATAGTTCTGGGCATATATGGGTGTTGATCGTTTTCGAATCAGGGGGCAAATATGGATTAAGTGAAAAGCGAGAGGTTGTTTATAGTATAATGAGATAATCTGAACTTAAATAGGCTAAATGTGCTAATATTTCTGTTAATATGTGAAGTTAGACTGTTATAAAGTTGGATACCTTCGAAAGTTATATTTTTCCATAATTGTTTTTTTTTTGGTAGAACAAGTAGACTTGCTCGACGAGTGCTACGTTTGCTAATATCGGTTATTTTTACCAATGAAAAGTTAGTATGAATGGTTTTATTTTGAATCTTCCTGATTAGTAGACAGGTACTGTCGGTGTAAAGTTGTTTAATATTCATAATTTTAGCTTTTTCATAAACATTGCTGGTCTGTGTTAAATACGGTAATTGAAATAGTATTTTTATGATTTTATTTTGTTTTCTTTGTAATTGTTGTAAGCTAGTTTTTGTAATTAGTAATAATAACTACCGAATGTATGGCTGGTCTCCGAGATCACTCGTGCTACTTGTCCATTTTTTGTCCACCTGTGATAGACAGCTATACACTTTTCTTTTAGACTAAAGAAAAAACTATAAGTTTGCTAAAACCTGTGTAATAATGAAAACTTGATTAACATAGAAACTAACTTGACTTGACTTAACTAACACAGTTACTTTTTTAACTCCACTTTATTTTATTTCAATTTATATATATATTTAATTTATTTATAACTATAGTATGTTGTAGTACTTTTCGTAATTTTGATGATCCATTTTGGTGATCTATTTAGACCTTGTAATTTAATTTTCAACGCTTCAGTTTTCTCTGTAAGGTGTATACCAGGGCTATCTGATTGATTCGTTAATATATCGTTGTATAATACCGTTCTTTATACATTTTGATATCAATATTTTGTTACTCATTGTGAGCAAGCAAATACTGATTTAAATGTAGAACTCATAAAACTGGAACGTGTATGTAAGTAGTTAATACGTACTAACTGAAACCATTCCTATATATATTGATGATTGAAATTGAACAGGCTATATCACAGATACGAATCTAATTGGTGCATCATAATAACATGTCATATTTACACCAATTACTCGTAAATTAACCGGTATCAGTAGCACTGTGACGATAATTAGACTGAACAAGGGTTTCATGTGTAGTCCCGGCCTTAAGTTTAACTCCTATATCGACCTACAGTTTGTCAACTTTAATAATGTATACCATAATAACTACAAAACCTTCAGGTTCAACAAATTAATAATTAAATACCGATCGTATTTAATGCAGTTACTTTAATTAAAATCAAAATTAAATAAAAAAATATCATTTTATAAGCTCTTTTTCTTAATCTTGAAATTTTTAGGTAAGGCTTGTATTAAATTAATTATCAATTTATATCTTAAGTAGGTATTCATTTATGTATTTTTTTTAGTTTATAACAATATGTACATAGGTCCTTCTTATTATAGAATAGATTAGCTTCAATGTGGTACAAATATGGTTTCAACCAATTTATTTTAACTCACACTATTGCAATACTCTAGAGCTTCCTTTCAAGCCCAGTAATAGAAGAAAACATGAAATACCAAAGTTAATCAAGCTTATTTACTTCATTTGACACAAAAAGATATTGATTCTAATGAACTTAAACTGAATATTGTAAACATTATATTCTTACCAACAACAGTCATATGTTTAGTTTTTCTTGCAATCTGGAACTTAGGACCTTCAGTGGATACCTCACATGTATATGCTGCCCTAGTAGATATCGGTGGAGGCATCACTCTGACGGTACAAAAGTCGGGTTGGCACTCGCCGCCTTGGACCATCACATCTGTTATGTTGAACAGACGGATAGCAGGCTGGGGACAAAAAAAATACAACAGGCATTAATATAAAGAACGGAGATATTGATTGGTTTGAGAATTGTAAACAACAGCTTGAATAAGTCTTTTAAAACAAAGAATTCAAAGTTTTTGTTTGTAAAAGTGTTTGTTTGTTTCAAGTATAATTTGTGTACTAAATGTAGATTTAGTCATTTTTAAGAGTTCGTAGAAAGCTATAGTATACATAGATTTAACGCCAAATACCTTGTTGGAATGAACGAACATACCTAAATTTATATTACTGTATTACAATTGCAAATAACTATATACGAAAAAGGAGTTACTTAAAATATATCAAACAGCCGTATGTTATTGATTAAATTCAAATTCAAGTCGTTTATTTCAGACATAGTCCATAGGGTTAGTACAAACAAAGAAACTTAAGAACTAAAGTTAGTAAACACAATCAATTATTATGGTGACCGGTGTGGATCTTTGCCCAGTGGCGCAACAGAGGGGAGTCCCACCGATCCGTGAACACCTTCAGGACACTGTTAGTAGCGGTGCGCAACCGGCCGGCCATGGATGCGGTCTTTTTTCTTAAAATTGCGTAAAAGTCGTCTATGTCGTCCGTCCGTAGTCGTCCGGTATGTTTGCGGAGTGCGCCTCCGCAAACATACCGGACGCACTACAACGCCACGACAGCCCCAACAGCATCCTGAACGCGTTATTATATTGGACGCGCAGGCGTTGTTTTAAAAAGCGTAACCTTTACTTGATTTGTACAGCGTGTAAATCTTCGAACCAGCATGTTACATCGAACAGCCAGCAACCTGCTGATCGTGACACCAGGGATATATAAAGTAACATACTTATGTACAATAAAATATTTAGGTAAGTTTATGTAAATATTTACATATTGTAGAAAAATACCTAGATAGATAGGAATCGAATGACCACCTTTGGCTGAGGGCGCAAATTGCGAAGGCATTGCCATTATATATATATGGGACAAATGGATTGAAAAAATATAAAAAAAAACTTCACCATTTTAAATTTATCATTTATAAATATTTCGTATTAAATAACTAAGATTTTTCTGTTATTTAAGGTCTCTTAATATAAATGAGTCTTCGATATAATCTTTATGTGACTATTAGCTACAAGTACTAACACGAAAATTACTCTGTCTTAATCCTGTTTACTTATCAAAGATACCGCGAATTTAAGATTACCGTGGGAAATCAAAATACGTTTAGTATCTTCAGGGGATTAAGAAACGACTGGCACAGAATAATAAAGGAATATTTACGACACAGTAAACAGATTTATATATATTTTGTTTTATTTTGACAGTTACTTCTTTTAGCTTGGGTTGCTTAAGATTTTTTTACTGATTTGTAAATCAAATTTATCCTAATTAATGTAATCGTGGCCGAAACGTAATATTTTTCACCTACCATTCTTAAAATAGCTTATAATTAACTGCAGGAGGAGAAAAAATTGTTTATTACAATGGAGCGATCTTTATACTTAAGAAACTTGAGAGAGCCCATATACCAGAAAAGCTGAATATGAAAGACGAATATAGATTCTTCGTATGCTATCAAAAGAAGCTTATAGTTTACCATAGTACTTTTAGTTTACTTTTACATTACTTACAAGTGTGCGTTGATCACGTAGATAAAAGGAACGAGGAAGTACCTACTTCGGCCTCATTTACGGAGATTCAAATATACGGCGTTGTATGAGTGCGTTAGCTGAGAAGCTATTTTACATGCGTTTGCTTAAAATGGAGTGTTTTTTGCATCCGAACCCGCGGATGGCGGATGCTTCTGCCAGCCTTATTTGAAAATCACACAACGCAGACGTAGTCACTGTCGCAATGCAGTACAATTTGATCAACTTTTTTTAGAAGACAATTCTACGTTAGAAAGTAAATTATTTAGTTTAAGAACTGGCCACGTGTACACGCCCGCTTTGCTACACGCTTGTGAAGCAAGCAGCGGCGGGCATCTCCATGAACTCTATGATCAACATCGCTTATTGCCATATGTTTGTGTTCACGCGTGCGATGATCAGCGCTGCTTAACGCGCCGTCGCATTGTAAACAGAAATACAATCCGACGCGTCGCGAGACACGCGATGCGCGACGCCCGGCGCCTCCGTAAATGAGGCCTTAGTCTATCATGACTTGTCTATTGACTTGATATTAATTGACATGCATAACCAAAGTATTTAAAATTCAATTTTTCGATTTTTAACAGTTTGTCCTATTTAGACGCTAAAATCTGTATTATGAGAACAAAATGAGTGAAAGACATACGGCTTGGTGAACGAAAGTCTACATAATCATCAATCAATCACATTATCAAACACATTTGAATTATTGTAATCTGACGTCAGTTTTAAATAAAGAATTTATTTATTATTTATTTATAAGCTTGAAATTTTTAGCATTAAAGTTAAATAAAATTTGCTTTATATTTATAACACTAGTTTAAAGCTTTTTATGGCATACAAAAGTTGTAGTTTCTGGCAAAAGTTCATTTTGAAAAAACAAAAGAAGAGTAAGAAACAAAAGAAAAGTATATTGATGAATTTATATAAAATTAACCAAATCCCTTGGGAAAGCGGTCAATTAGACTTTACGGCTATTATTTAATTCATGAGATTTTACCCAATACAGTGCGCAATATAGATAAAGTACCCGAAATATCATAGAAAAAGTATACTATATATATGTACATGTAATTTTGAGTTATGAACATATTATTCTGTCTACTACGCTTTATATCTTTCCCTTTAGCTCATAGCCATGATTGTATTACATGAAGTCTCCTACGTAAAATATTCAGAAGTAGTCAGAAACCTAATGGTAATTGTATACATAACATTATTTTGTCACTTCTAGAACAAACACTTAATAGTACGGATATTCTATTTTTTCAAGAAAAATCTGCCTACAGACTTAAGAACAGACTTCAGATTTAAATACCAGAACAAAGTTACTTCACCATTATAAAAAAGTTTGAAAATTGACTCCTGAGTTGCAGACGTTCATGAGCGGCGATGGTCACTTTCCATCAGGTGACCGGTCTGCTCTTTTGACCCCACTAACATAAAAAAAAGTAACATCAAGCCTATACAAAATTATAACAATTATTATCTAATTCATGGAACGTCCACTTCTGGACATGTGCTTTTCACTAATCTCAATCAAATTTAAATTCTGTTTTATAGCAATAATCCCATCCACAAATTAAGGTTTGTCTCCTCTCCTATACACCTAGAAAATAATTATTATTAAAATAATATTTCTAAAATCAACAGCTTTTAGTAGTCCACTGTTAGACATAGGCATATCCTTAGAAAGGAGGTCACGCTGGCCAGACGGTATATGGTTTGTTTCAAGTTTTCCTTTTTTTTGCAGTGTTAATGTCCTGTATACGTTGCTTCCTTGGTCGGCTCTTACGAAACCCGCGGGATGAAAAGTTGTGGTGACACTCTGTATACTAAATCCGTCACCAGACGTTATGCATTAAAAAAATATATCAAACAAGCAAAAGAAATGCCGATGGACACCGATTTGATACTGTGGTGTAATTATCGTTACTACAATAAGTCCCTTATAAAGCTCTTTCCATTTTCAACTTAATAATATTCGCGCAATTTCCGACGACTTCACTTAATCCGATCATTCCTCTATCTTCAACCATTTGTCTTAAAGTCGTTAATCATTGAGATGATTCAGGTATCTTTGATAAAATAGTAATTGTATTTTTGTAATTGTGTTTTGTTGTTGATTTATATGCTCTTGTTTGAGAATATTATGTCAAAACTCTTATTACACCTTTTATTTGACATAATGAAATTTAAGGAATTAAAAACACACACTATTATTAATAAATTAGCTGTACCCTGCCCTGCTTTGCTGTTGCATATTGTAGTTGCATTGGTGAAAAATGATTAACAAAACTGACGCAGAAAATAAATAAAAACGGTGCAGATTTTTTTGAGTTTTTGAAGCGTACATAAACCAACTTAACATTTTATATATACATAGGTTGTGTATGGAGTTAACGCTTTGACTGTCTTAGTGTTTTAATAATGAACTTTAAACAATATCACCGACTGCAATACATCAATCAAATATTAAGAAAAGAAAATCCTATTCAGTTTAATTTAAAAAAAACTTATTTTTCATCAACAACCTTCACTTGTCCACTGCTGGACATAGGCCTCTCCTCAGAAAGGAGGTTTTGGCCTACTATACCACGCTGGCCAGACAGGTTGGTATAGGGTTTGTTTCAAGTTTTCCTTCTCTTTGCAGTGTTGTTGTTCTGGGTAGTGTACTCCCTTAGTCGGGTCTTACGACACCCTCGGGATGAATAGGGGTAGTGACACTCTGTATTCTTAATCCACCGCACTTCTTTTTAAGTCAGTTAAAAATAAAAAAAACTGTTGTAAAATTTAATGTATAAATTTGGGGTGCCTAAACACTTTCGAACCCAACGGAGGCCATTTTGCAAGGAGCGTAACATCCTGCCATCACATTGCGTCCCCAAAAAGCTTAATATAATCGTTTATCCACTTATATTATAAATGTGAAAGTGGTTTTTTTTGTTAGTTTGTTACGCCTAAACATCAAAACTGATGTTAAAAATTCTTTCACCAATGGAAAAGTACATTGTCAGCGAGTAACATAGGCTACTTTTTGTTGTGATCACCGACATGCACACTAATAATAGCCCTTAACTACCCCGAATACAGGTAAACACATGTTTATTATAAGTGGAACATCTACTTGTGTGCTTTTATAACAAAAGTTTCAAGAACGCCCACTGCTCAGTCCCTACATAGTTTAATCTTATGAATGTGTGCCTATTCACGTAGAGTTATATATATATGTCATATCTTTGTTAGTCTCATATAAGAAATATATGTTTTTCTTTTCGTTACCTTCACGTTAAATACGGCTTCCATTTAGAATAGTTTTATTTATAACCTAAAAAAGGGAAAAAATCTTTTTCTAAACTCTATTTAAGACTATTACAAGGAAAGCTATAAAAAGTATTTTACCGCCGCCTCTATGAGTCTGCTTATGATTTTCGCCATATGGTTCCTTTTATGATACCATGTTTTTCATTTATCATCATTTCAAATAAAGACAACCGAATACTTAAGGTATAAACGTAACAAATAATGATGATGAAATTAGCGTTTTGTCGTACTGACCACTTTCATCTGAAATATCTCCTGTTTGGTTAAGAATTCCAAATTCAAATTTATAAATTCATTTGTCATTCATTTGTTTTTTCCTCATTATTTTTTTCTTTGGCGTCGCTTATAACCGCACAATGGAAAACATGAAATATCGGTATATTTACGAGTACGAGTTCTACCGTGGCACCAGTGCTGCAGAAACAGCTCGAAGGATTAATTATGTATTGTGTACGGCGCTGGTGTCGCAAAAGAAAGCACGGTACGTTTTTGGTTTCAACGTTTTCCTTCTTCGTCACAAAGCACTTCAGAGATAGCTGCAGACTTCGGGGTAAGTGATAAAACTGTATTAATCCACTTGAAGCAAATCGGGAAAGTAAAAAAACTTGAACCTCATGAATTGAGTGAATCGAACTTGCAAACACGCGTCGACTGCTGTGTTACTTTGCTCAACGGACACAATAATGAAGGGATTATAAATCGAATCATTACTTGTCATGAAAAGTGAATATTGTACGATAATCGGAAGCGCTCGTCGCAATGCACGGATGGCGTAGTGGTTTAAGCGGTCGCCACGGGACGACACTTTGTGTGATCCACAAATTGTTGTTTTGAGTCTGGGTGTTCTTTGTGTCTGTTTCATGTATGTTTGTAATGTCCCCCGCAACACAGGATTTACTCCTAATGCAGCAGTTGTCTTTAAAAAAAAATATGGCTGAACCCTGGAGACCCACCCAAATCCTGCCCTAAACGAAAATTGACTCAGAAAAAGTTACTTGTGAGTGTTTGGTGGACTAGCGCCGGTGTCGTTCACTACAGCTTTCTAAAATCTGGCCAAACGATTACGGCAGATATCTATTGTCAGCAACTGTAAACCATGAAGGAAGAACTAGCTGCTAAACAACCGAGATTGGTCAATCGCTCTAGGCCACCGTTGCTTCACGACAACGCAAGACCACACACTGTACAACAAACAACCACTAAGTTAGATTAGCTACAATTGGAATGCCTGCGACATCCACCATACTCCACGGATCTTGCTCCTACAGATTACCATTTTTTCCGGGATTGGGACAACTTCTTACAAGTAAAAAAATTCAACGCCGATGCGGCAGTCCAAACCGCCTTCAAAAAGTTTAGTGATTCTCGCCCCCATGGTTTTTTTAGTAAAGGGATTAATGAACTACCTATGAGATGGCAGAAGTGCATAGATAACAACGGTGCATACTTTGATTAATTAAATATATTTTACAAAAAAAAATATTGACTTTATATTCCACCCGTATAAAACGCCAATTTCATATGTAAGGACCTAATAAATAAAAACTCGTAATCGTCAAATATAAATAAAATTTAAACCTGTAACAATCCAAAGGTGGTTCTTTATAGATAGCTATAAATGCGACAAAATTTAGCCTTTTTCGTTTCTCTGTAATAGGAATTGAGGAATTGAGACAGATAAGCGATTCAAAAGGAAACATCTGTTAGCCAATTCGATAGGCCTCGTTACGCCTATTTAAATTAGAGGGGTTAGGTATCTCGGAAACAGACAACACACTGTTGTGTCTTGCATAAAAAATATAGAATCTGTGCTTTATTGATATTGCACTTTTTTTCATGATTATCATAATTTTTTAAGTGTTTTTGAAAAATCTGATAAACTCTGATAAATTAACAGGCGTTAATATTAAATTTTGCTTAAAATTATAAACACTTGATAAGTACATCTGTTATAAAATTTTAAAACCAAAATTAAAAAGCATTAGGCTCGTTTTTTAAATCTGGTTTTCTAAGTATTGACTTTTTTTACACTGAACTAACCATAACATACGACACGAAATATCGTAAGACTCGAAACCACTATCTGTAAATCATATGAATTATTGGATGTCGGGATCACAGCCACGACACTTAACACTGTCATGTTTGCCGAGTCATTCATTGACCAGAAACTGCAGTGTTTACCTATTGTTTTTAGTTACACGAGAAATATGTAAAAGTAATTTTTTGTGTAAGCGGTGATAAAATATTGCTTATAATTCTTACATACGTATATACAGTCCCGCCTGTGTCCCCAAGAAGAAAGGGAGAGGTTTAAACACTCACTTGTTGTAACTATAACTTGATCCCACTCACGCTATTGGATGCCACGACTCGCTAATTATACATAATACCATATACTACCATCATCATGGTATAATACCATCCAAGCTGACGTAACCTACCTATAAACAACCGCCTTGACACATTTCTGGTGCTTACAAACAATCAAGAACTTTCATATAAACTTAAGAGAGATCTTAGACCTTCTCTGTCGCTAAGTTTATTTTTAGCTAATATATTCTTTTTGTAAAATATTTCTCGTTTATCCCTTTAGTAAAAAAAATTAGGCACTTGTATAAACTTTTAAGAGCTCTTGTATTCTTCAGACCTCTAGAATTCTTTAAATAAATTTGCAAGGCCAAAGGTGTACCAGACTGGCTAACAGGTTGATTATTGCCGTGTTACTGAACATCACAAAAACAACGTTTCGAATATTTCTATTTATAAACATATATTTATATACAAATCTTTTTTGATATGATTTGAAGAAAAAACATAAGTTATTATATAAAGCAGATATTTTTCAACTGCGAGCTGTCTGTTAATTTCATATTGCCTGTAAATCAACAAGTGTCATCAAATTATACACAAATGAAGAAATGAAACACGTAAAGGGCCGGAATAAGAAGTTTCTCTTTCTATATTTTTGATGTTATTTCCCTAATGTAAACTTTTGATTTATTTGCCAATTTCTAGATCCATACACACATAGGAACATAATTATATAACTATAACGTTTTATAGTGATACCTACTTCATATTACATTAGTAATATAAATATTATGTTTTTCAGTTATTAACATGTCTGAACATCAAATTAAGCAAGTAAAGGTATTTACATTGTATCTTTTTATTAATATATGAAATGATTTTGAATCAAATGGTAGAACCAAATAATGTTCCCGACTGTCGGATCTGATGGGATGTGACAACAATAATAATATCTACTGCCATAAATATGTACGTTCTTTGTTACGAATTGTCGCTGACATTCACATGTCAAAAGGAACACATTCAGTTTTTTGTATGTTATATAAAATATTACAGCTTCTTTTTTTTTGCTTTTCAGCGCTCGAGGCAACAAACAAACACAAATAAAATAACCGCGTTACGTTTCTCACCTGTTGTTGTGGATTATATCTGAATATCTCGTTAGTGTCGCGGTACCACTTCACGGAATGTAACTTTTGCTCATCCATCTTGAAGTGGCAGCTGAGTTCCGCGGCTCGGCGTGGATCTGCGTACAACGGCACCTTCAGCTGCGAGATGTCGTGTGCTGAAGTTATTGCTGTAACAAAAAGAAAAAGATTAATGAGTGCAAGCCAAAGCAATGTGTTATATGTTGTACACAATATATGAATTACAGAAAACTACATCTTTTTTAGTATTCCAAATTCATCTAATATTGGGAAAGATGCTATTTATTCTTATATAATTTAAGGTTAGCAGTTAATTTATAATTTCTTGAACATTGTATCCATCTGCCTATAAAGTAAAACTTGTAAGTTTTACCTGTTAAAATTAATCATAAATATTTACTAACCACACGTTCAATTTAATTTAACAGATACTTTACAAGCTTTCTAAATAGCTCAGTAAAAGAAGTTTTGTGACATTTCATCGTCACGCTTTTTTCATCGTGGATTTTCATACAACATGACACCCCTTTAATTTTGAAACACAAGGGCGCGTCAGACTTTGTGGAGGGAAAATTTTCATAACTTTGTTTCCCTCAAATGTTTTTTACGTTTCATTACAGTATCGTATTATCTTTTGTTTCTTGTTCAATTTGACTAACGCTCGATGTAAATTTCTATTACCTTGTTTAAAAAATACTTTTATTAATATGAAGCTTTCGTATTTTCTTGTTTGTTTATTTTCAAGAATATGTTAGTTTCATGACTTATTTATTTATATAATATATATAAAAATAAGTCATAAAACTAATAATTATATTATATATTAATAATAATTAATACAAATTGGATAGTTAGCCATATGGAGAATAGTAGAGGCTCTCAAGAATTAGGCTAAATGTCTCAACTGAACTTAAATATTGACTTCTTTAAAACACTGCTGCTTACACTGCTTTTTGATTTTATTAAACTCGTTGGGCCAGTGTGGTATAGTAGGCCAAAACCTATATTCTAAGAAGAGGCCTATGTTCAGTAGCCATCTATTAAAGGATGATGATAATACTGCTTTATTCGCGTACAAATGTATAATGGTTAGAGATACGGAAACACCGTGTTCTACAACAACTGTTAGTCCTTAGTACCACTTAAGTAAAGGATGCCCTGTCCATAGTCAGGATGACAAAGTTATTGAAAATCAAAAAGTGATTTATGAGGATTAGTACCTCTCAGATTGGAAACGGGACTAAAACTAGATTTACGGTTAGCATTATAACATGTTACCTACTGTTTACATGATCGCACCCACGCATATTGACAGGTCGATTGGTGTAGCGGACATGACACATAATTGTTTGATAAACACGATCATTTGTTTTGTGTCCGAGGTAAATGTATGTATTTAGTTATGACGATGTTTTCCAATACTATACATACTTTTGCAAATAGTTTACAAATTCTGTCTATTTTATTTGTGTCTCAAGTTATTATTAAATTGATTCTCTATGTCCCATAAGAATAAAATGGCTAATATTTTGTTTACATTGCCAATGCTAGCAGTAAAATGATGTAATTGTCAATTGATGTATTGAAGAATAGAATAGATTAAATAATAAAATAAGAAAATCAAATGTTACTATTTATAATATATTGATCTTAATATTTTAGTAATGATATATAATACGTATATATTAAATAATTAACAGTGCTTCGTGTAAGAAATATTATAGAACAATACATGCTACAAGTAACCTAATGTCTATCAATTTCAACATTAATTCTGCAGATACCTCCATGTATGTCGTAGAGCTCTACGTCGTAGCAAATGTGTTATATAAAGACAATTAATTACTTCAGGCATACTAATTAATGCGAAACCGATCGTTACATATTAATTCAAATTATATTTTACGGTATACTGTTGTGTTTGATGTAATTTGTTTTAATTAATTTGACTATCAGGTTACTTTATTATTATAATTAATTTTCAAAGTTCGATGATTATTATATTTAGCAAGACGCAGCTAGAAACAAAGTGCGTGTAAAACTTTTGTAAAACAATTCAATTAATTTTCGATAAGTTCTGTCAAATAATTAGTATTTACACTATGCAAGGACCGATTGATTCGCTTTTATGTGAAGCAAAATTTTCCACATTAATTTATTTTCAGCAGGACGCTTTTTTTTCTACTAGAAACTAAAGTTCACCTAATTTTTAAATGTTTTTACTATTAACATATTATTTGCTGCATTATATTATTTGCTCATTCTCGCTTCGTATTTCACTTGATTGGGAGAAAGAAATGGCAGAAATATGTTTCTTATATTCGATTATTCATATTTTTGTAAATAACGAATCTAACGAATAATTTATCTTTTTTGTTAGTTTGTTGTATTATAAAAAATAAAGGGCTACTGACGGGGATAGTCATCCAGAGTCTAAAATTTGTCAGTTTCTCTCTTTCCAAAACATTACAATCCACAACAGCTTTTAGTATTACTTACTTTTCTTTTGTATTCGTTGAGATTGCTGTTAACTCTTATTACTGCACACATCAAGAAAGTTTAAACAACACGCATCATTTACAGAAACTGCATGTTATTTTATTTTTCTTTGAAATTTTTTTTTTTTTTAGCAAAGTAGATTCGTATACATTTTTTTGTTTTCGGAAACATATACTAACTGATTTTAAAAATAGAAACTTTTCGGTTGTGTTTTGTTTTCATTAAAATTAAAGTTAATTATTTTTGCCCGAGCATGCCATGTGCATGAAATTTGATATTTATTTCACTTTTATCATTTTCAGATATACGGTTTTGGGGACGTGAGTCACTTTTTATGTCATGGAGCGGCGTCATTTGAATGTTGATGAAATGCAGAGAAATGCAGCAGAGAGATGATTGTCGTCTTTGGCAGTATTACGTAAATACATGAGATCCTGCTTAGCAGCACCCAGGACGTTGAAAGAGTATAACTGCTTGACAGGACCGTTTCATACAACGGACTAAAAGACGTCAGCCACTGTTAACAACCCATGAGATAGGTTTGAAGCTACAATTCTCAAGCGGTGTTGTTGTTAACCACTAAACCGTGAGAAATGGGTTGAAACGAATACGGCCTACGAGCACGACGTCAATTAGGTGCTGTTGAAACGAATGGTGTTGAGAACACTTCACATAAACCAAAGGGAGCAAAGGGATAAAATTTTATCTTGCGATGAGTCCTGGTTTACATTTAGGCCTAATACGAGAAGGGTAAGAGTGCTGAATGGCTGAGATGCGTCCAGGAAGTGCACCCTTATAGTGGCTCCATATTCATGGTATGGGCGGGTATTATGAACAACAGACGAACTGAGCTTATTTTTGTAGATGGCAATATGAACGCTGAAACTAGGTTGAGGAAATCCTCGGACCTCAATCCCATCGAGCACGCATGGGACACGCTCCAGAGACGTATTCTAGAGAACCTGGACGGAGTGTCAACAACCCAACAACTGAAAGACTTGTTAAAAGTCCATTGGAAGCGATTGTCGCAGGATCAGATAAACAATCTTATAAATTCAATGAAAAATCGTTGTCGACAAGTTTTTAACAACAGAGGCGGTAAAACTTTGTATTGAATTACCAAATAATAATAATTAAAAAAAGGTTTATTTTATATTACGTATGTTATAAACTTTATTTTATATTACGTATGTTACGGTACACATATTAATCATTATTGTGATTAAATAAACAATGAATGAAGGATTTCGTTGTTTTAGTAACTAATGGATCAATTAATACTTAATTATTATTTATAAAAGAAATATAAATATATTTCAATAGTAAAGATCGTTCAAAAGATCAAAATCATACATGTTGCTTATACTTATATCCTATGAATGTTAATAAATCATTTATCAAACAATTTGATATTTATAGCATTCATCAACTCCAGAAGAAGCATAGTTGTTCACGTCCGGTTGCGCCGGTATCAATAGTCGCAGATAAAAGTTAGAACGAAATATACATTTATCAAGTTTCTCGTAACTCTTACCTGAAATTGATTGTAATTCATTTATCCTACCGTATCAGTTTTATAAGTAAAATCACTTTAAGATAGTAAATTACTTGAAATTTATGTTCATGGACAAGTGACGAAGAATGATTTCATTTATGACCAAGAATTCTTCTTGGACATAGTTTGGTTTATTAAGAGCTTAGTTCACATTTAGGGTGCGTTTCCACTGACCAGGGGATGGGCGAAGTGTAACGGAAAAGAGCAGTGAAAAATGGTAAGTGCTTCCATTGAAGCGGAGCGAAGTGGAGTTGAACTGAGCAGACCAGAACTGCAATGAGCCGTGTTACGATCAGTCAAATTCAATCTCTTGGAGAGATCATACGTTATATAAAGCAAAGCTTTTACATCTTTCTCTACTAGAAGATGAAGATTCGGAAGCAGATGAAGTAGAGCTGATTGCCGCATATTATTTGGATACAAAACAAAACACAGATTTTGGTCTGATCTACCCTAGCCGCCGCGCCGAACTGTCCAGCTATCCTCCACTTCGTGCCCGCTGCTCCGCTTCGGCACCACAGCCTGCTCAACTCTGTTGTATCCAGCTCGGGGCTGCGAGTTCTTACATTTTTTTTGAAAGTTCGCTCAGCTCCGCTCCGCTCCAAGCACATTGTTTCCAAAGATGTAAAGTGAAGATTGCAAAGGAATTGTCTCTTAAAAGCTATATAAAAGAAACATTCAGACACGTTAACGAAAATAATATTTGACAATTAAATCCACTATTTTTTTAATAAACTTATGTTCCGATATATATTTGACGATATTTTAATCAATACATTGCCATGTAGTATTCCGTAATACTAGAACGGTTTCGGTTCTGCTTTGGTTAGGGAAATATAAAGATAGGGGTATGTATAGGGGTTTGGGCATATCAGCACAGGTAGTCAGTAGCTACCTTTACTCAAAGCTTCTCTAAGTCTAAATTTATTGTGATTCCCTCTTCAGGTTCAGCCATGTATTTACTCTTCATCAATCTAAAATGAACTGATAGACACATTTAGTGCGTGTGTGATGTTGCGCTAAAAGGGAAGGATTAACTAATGGATGTTTGAATTATTTCCATCCTGACATAACATACTGTTCCCAATACATTTT